CAGGCACAAAACCAATGCACCCGGGTTAGCCACGCCATCTCTGAGGGGTCTCTCTACCAAACCGGTGACGATGTCATCACACAAAACACAAAACCAACACAGAACAAAAAACGAGAAAAATTGACAACACAGATCAGATATAAATGTTTGTCCGTGCGCCACGGGTCGATGTCGCCCGCATGCTCCGGTGCCGCTGCTCCATCCGGCGCCGCTGTAGTCAGCCCGAGCAAAACGCCACTCGACCTGCTCCGTCCGTACACGCTCTCGTTGCTGTCCTTCCCAGTCGGTTCCTCGCTTTCTCCCTCGTTGCACTCAAGGTTCTTGGTCTGAAAAATAAAAATTCTCGCGCCGAAGGGGTCAACCAGCCCAGTTCAGCTCGTCGCCACCTGCTCCCTCCTCCTTTGATGGCGAAGCCAGGTTACTGAGGCAATGCAGCGCCCTCTAGCCAACCTAGGGCCGTGTACATAGTTCCCGTCCACCTTCTGACGGTGTCTGCCTCCGCGCACAAAAAATGAGATGGGCATCGCTGCCTACGCCGACGGCCAGAGGCCCGCGCATCTACATTTTTTCGCCTGACCCCATCAGTGCCGACCCAACTACACCACCACGCGCATGCCTCGCGGCGGATATGCGCAGCAGCAAGAAGGTTTCGGTCATCCCTTGAGGGTGAGTCTAGCCCTGCTCGCCAGAAAGACCCCCCCCTTCGCTACAACCCATGTCTAAGCAAAAGCTTGTCGAGGAGCGAGGGGAAGAAGGGAGAGTTACGTGCCAGTAAAAAACAAAACAAAATAACACGAAATAAACCGAAGACAGACGAGGACATACATAAACAAACTCGCACAGAGACAGGGATATCCGTAGAGACAGTCTGAACGCGACAGCAAACGGGGGAGGGGGCAACAGAAAAACTAGTCGCTGAAATTCAACCGCAACATGTCACGTCACGCGGTCGGTCTCTTCTCGCTTGCTTTCTTCCCGCGCCGTTTCCTCCCGCCCCCCTCCCGCCCCGTTGATTGGTGCCGTATCTAGACTATTTTTGGGCCCGCTGTCTCCTCGTTTGATGGCTCGTTGTCGGCTGGCCTTCTCCTCGCCCTTGAGCCAAGAGGCCATAAACCTCTCAGCTCCCTGTAGCACCCCCGCGTGCCACGGTAAGGAAAGAGAAAATTAAATAAAAAGAGCGTGGACAATAACAATAAGGACCAGGCCGAAAATAACAAGAAATAACAGACAGGAAAAGGCACACGGTGGAGAGACCACTAACGACAAGCAAACACGCAAACATGGCCACCAACCAGCGATACATTGTAATGGTATGTCATCACTAGTGGGGGGTTGGTGCAATGGTGCAGCATTGGGGGGGGGTGAATTGGCTGAAAGAAATTCAATCCGGCACGTATCGCGCCACTCGGTCCGTCTCTTCTCGTTTGCTTTTTTCCCTCGCCGTCTCGTCCGTCTCCTGCCCCCCTCCCGCCCCATTTTAGGAAGATATGATTCCTCGGGGTAACTTGCCATCCTGAGAAGTGGCAAGTAAAATACCGAGGAGATTTGTCTCTTCCGAAGTCCATGGCCGCTTGCCGAGGGAAGAAATGGGGGAGCCTCAGCCTCTCTCGACCCTCTGGTCGCACTCTTTTTCTACCTCTCTCCTCGTTACATCTCACGAAAGGAAATAGCCACCCTTGCCAGTGGGAGAATACTGCAAGAGAACCGGCCTCTGTCTCTGACAGGGACTAGTGTCCTCAGATGCCCTAGCATTTTTGAGATTTGCGACTGACACGAGGTCAATGCGAAGAAAACAACAACAACAACAACAACAACACGCAAACAGATGAATCAAAAGTTAGAAGAATATCACGCATGGCTTCTGCAGCTGCAGGGGCGAATTGGAATAGGTCCGCAGAGGCGAAGTGTGTGACTGCACGAACTGCGCGGAGATTCGAGCCCATGTCCCAAACGTCAGAAGGTCGCACTCAGCCGCAACTATATGGCCAACCGAGCTTTGGGTGGCACAACGCAGGTGTGTCCCTCCCGATCCAACAGCGATAGGTAAGAGCTGCTGAGGCGTGTGGTGGTTCGCAAGCACCCAGCAGGATTGGCCATCTATTTGATCACCAGACCACCAGCCGTGCGTACCACTTACGCATTGCCACATCGAATGCCCGCCATCTATGTGGCACTCATCAACGGTGCGCTGACCTCACATCAACTACTGGAGGTTCACAGGTCGCCTCGGGGTGGCGGCGGAAGGAAAGCGAAGGAACTGGGATCGCCCCGGGAACACACGCGCGCGACTCTGTTACGTTCTTCTTTACAGCAATAAATACACACCGTTGCCGGGCTGAAAACGGTGTCTGGCGGTGTCTACAGCAGTACATCTTGTCACTGCTCCTTTTGTTTTCTTTCAAAGAGGTGAGGCTGGATGGTGATGACTTCACACCCACACTCGTTCGAAGGAGAAGTTCCGACACACAGCAGCATCCGTTTCTCCTACTTGTAGGACTCTTTTGTTGTGCACGCACATGCATTCACCCGACGCAACGCTTGGATCTTTTGCACGCACGCGCATATGTACACACTCTATGCTCCTGCAGCAGTTCCTGTTCTACCCCGACAAAAAGTCGGTCCGACTTCCTCTCACACGGACAGCTGGCCCAGACCCGGACGCCTTTTGCCGTGGTAATGCCGTGTACTTCCGTAGGTTGCATGAGATAGCACACCCCTTGGACCAATTTTCGAAGCTCCTTATCTCGACAGGAGCAGCAGTGGCGGTGCCCAAAATGGCGGCGTTGGAACCGTATTATCGTCGAGAGATATTCCGAACACGTATACCTCAATTTCGTCATTTTCGTCGTGGCGTAATCGAGCTTTGAAAATCGGTCCAGGGTTTGTGACATAAGTCTATGCAACCTACGTGGAGCCTTGGTTAAACTCAGGCTAGGTTCCTCACGCGAGTAAGGCTAGGTCGCTCACCCCAACCAACCCTAACCCTCGCCCACGGCCAATGCACGGCCTAGCGGCCGCGAACTAGGCGAGCACGCGGCTGCGCCGCGTACTGTGTCGACTAGAGCCTCAATGTGTAAACACTGCTTGAGCTGCGTGGTAATCACATGCAATAATATATTTCAGAGTCGGAGCATTGTGACAGCGGCAGTGGTTATTGTGATGCCAAGCTGTCAAGCTGTGAACGCAATTGCTGCGAGTCGCTTGGATGGCGAATGCTGTTCCAAAAAAGTCGTTCTGCTCACGCACCCTAATCAATTCGAGGCCCGCTTTCCCTTGTACGGAATGGACTTTGGTGTGACCACACGACGGCGTCACGGACGGCATACAGAGACGGGCCATTCTGTTGTTGTGTATATGCCTTGGTCATAAATCAAAAACCGGTGGGTCTTCGGTACACTTCTTATTCGATACCCATCCATCCCGGTCCTCTTTGACAACGCCTGCCTTTTTCCGCGTTCACACGCGAACCACCGCGAAAAGGGTACGCACGATGTTACGTGGAGACAACTTGCTTACTCTCTTCAGACAGACGGTGATGGACCCGTTGCATTTTGCACTGAAAGATCGTACCTCGGTTCATGACAAAGGATTCCCATCTCGTGTCCGAAAAAAAAGCCTATCGTCGGCCTCGGTAACCCCCCGACCTGCCGACCTTTTCGATGTGTTTTTCAAGAGCGAAATAGAAGAAAGACCGCTTCGTTAGGACGTCGCCACGGAGGCAGGGCGGCGAGCCTCGTCGCCATAAGATTCTTGAGCGCAGGAAATTCTGCCGCGGCGAAGAGAGAAACATAGAGGATGCTGGTGTGGGAAGAAGCAAGACACACTGTTTGCGTTTGGTACCGGTGTCGCGTCGAGGCGTAGGTCGCTCGAAGGCACGGCCTCGATCTCGTGCTCGTAGCTTTCGCGAGTTGAGAGAAATCGGTCGCGGAAAACATCGCGGTCAAGATTTCCTTTTTGGTTCTTTTGGTTCTGCAGCCGCACTTATCCTTTTCCGATTGAAACCGGACATTTGGCTGCAGTTTCAATTTCGGTTGTGTTTTCTTGCGAAAAACCACAACTGTATCACTCATCCTCGCCTTTTCGCGCCATTCCCACCGTATAGAATGAAGCTGGCTGGGAGCTACTGCTTCCTGTTGGCTCTGTGCGTCTTCCTTGCCGACCACCTCGCTTTCGCGCAACCTACTGGTGGCCGGGTACCATCAGCACCTCGATATGGCCTAGCAAGATTCGCTGAGGAGGACGTCAAGGACACGGGCGTCGGACATGTACATCCGATCCCTGAAGACGAACACCAAGTTGAAGAAGAGCTGGTTGAGGTGCTCGAGGCCGATGAATTGACCACTGGTGAGGCAAGCCCTGGCGTCGTCAAACAATCATAGTTCTTTCGGGTAAGGCCGACATGGGCGACGTGAGAAATGACGCGCCAAAAAAAACTGGCGCCAACCACACGACGGTTGAGAGGAATCAAAATCCGGTGTATGTATGCATTATAATAGCAAAGCGCCCAAGGTCGGTGACTGGGGGCGTGCGGGCTGACGACTGAACGGTCTCAACAGAGCATCTGTTTTCCTGTGGAAACAGGGTTGGTTAGAAATCGAAGAGTGAGACGGTGATCTGACTGGCTCAAATAATGCCTCTCTATTGCTTAAAGGCGCTGGGAACGCGCTAGTCTAACCTTTTTCTTTCTCTGGTCCTCATAATAAGAAGTAGTAAAATATACGGGGTGCGATTGTTAATGATTATTATTCAGGGGAGCACATATCAGGTACATGATACTTTGAGATCAGGAAAACAATTCCCTTCCTAAATCTAGCAGAATTCTCCCCGAAGCGGCAGATATTTGCCCTTCGTCGACAACATATTGTAGTACGCCTGAAGAAGCATGTACCGCACTAACGTCGACTCCGACCCCGTAAAGGAAAACCTCGTTCTCTTTTTTTTGTGCCTTTATCGCGGAGAGTTTTTTTAGGGTTGCCGGGGACAGCAGTATCGCACCATCGCCGGGGTCATTGGAGGCGTGACATACGTCCAAAGATGCACCTTGACATGCGCGATCACTGCATATGAAAAACGGCGGGCAACGTCGTGGGGGGGGGGGGGG